TGCTTTCCTAGGGGCTCCAACTCCTAGGTAGGGTCGCACTGGGATAATTTTGATTATTCCCTACCTAGGCTCCGCCTAGAAGAGTTCTTACTATTAGGCTTAAAGGGCCGGGCAGTGGGGCTCGCCCTGGGCGGTTCCCCCAGGATCCGCCCCGCGATTCCCCCAGTGACGTTCCCTGAGTTTCGCGTTGCTTATCTCATCTTAGCTTAGCTTATTTCATATTACCTTAGCTTAGCTTCATCTTACCTCAGTTTTATATTAGCTTAGCTTACCTTCATCTTAGCTTCGCTGAGCTTTAGCATAGCATAGCATAGCATAGCATAGCATAGCGTAGCATTAGCATGGGTGCAATTCCCTACCTAGGCTATGCCTAGAGGGTGCGCTTAGCTTAGCTTACCTTAGCATAGCATAGCGCAGCGCTGCATCAGCATAGCATAACATAGCATAACATAGCCAAGCATAACATAGCATAGCATGTCATAGCATATCGCAGTCTAGCATAGTATACCATAGTATCGCATAGCATAGCATAGCATAGCACAGCATAGCGCAGCTTAGCATAGCATGGCATAGCATAACTTAGCATAGCACAGCGCAACATGGCATAGCATAGCTTAGCATACCATCGCATAGCTTAGAATAGCATAGCATAGCATAGCGCAGCATAGCATGGCATAGCATAGCATAGCATAGCGCAGCATCGATTGGCATAGCATAGCATAGCATAGCAACTAATGCTGCTTTCCTAGGGGCTCCAACTTCTAGGTAGGGTCGCACTTCGGTAATTTTTGTTTTTTCGTCCACAATCCGCCTGTACCGCCTGTAGGGAGACATGCCCGACCTAACTCTAGGCCTCCTAGATGGGGTCGGAGTAGATGGGGTCGGAGGATCGCGCCGCATCGCCGATGCATCGGCGATGCGGCTCGATGTGGAGACCGTGCTTTCTCCGCGCTGGCGTCGCCGATGCATCGCAGACGTGGCCGACGCATCGCCGGTGCATCGCTGGTGCATCGGCGATGCATCGCCGATGCATCGGCGATGCGGTGCAATCCTCCGACCCCATCTTCTCGGACCCCATCTAGGAGGCCTCTACGAACGGCGAGAGCCACCCCAGCGGCCACGAAGACTTGACTCGGGCACGTCCCTCTACAGGAGGAATAATCAAAAAAAGAGTCTGGGGCGATGTTGCGTGTATTGTTTGACCCTTTTTGCAGATCTGTCCGAGTAGGTTCGACTTTCCGTCGAAGATCGCCCTGCAGGGGGACATGCCCGACCTAAACGGAGACGCCGCGAGGGCAGCCGAGCCCGCACAGTGCACGCGAGAGGCACCCGAGGCAACAGCCCGAGAGGCAACGGGCCCCACGGGAGGCCGAGTCGGCCCAGGAGCCCCACGAGGGGGCGGCGAGGGGGCCAGGAGGCACGAGGGGCCAGGGCCTCACAGCATGAAGTGGGGCACGTCCCTCTACAGGGGGAATATTCCAAAACAGTCAAAAAATACTGTGGGCACGATTTTGTGATAATTCCCTACCTAGGCTCTGCCTAGAAGGGTTCTTACTCGATTACCTTAAAGGGGCCTGGCAGTGCAAACCGCCCCGGGCGGTTCCCCCAGTCCCCTGGGAGCCAAGCAAAAGCAACAGCAAAGGTAAAAGCAAAAGCGTGGTTCCCCCAGTTGCGCTCCCTGGGTGCCAAGCAAAAGCAAAAGCAAAAGCAAAGGCAAAAGTGAAGGCGAAAGCGAAGGCAAAGCAAAAGCATAGCATAGCATAGCGTAGCATAGCATAGCATAGCGCAGCATAGCATAGCGCAGCATAGCATAGCCTAGCCTAGCCTAGCCCAGCCAAGCATAGCATAGCATTGCGCAGCATAGCATAGCGCAGCATAGCATAGCCTAGCCTAGCCTAGCCCAGCCAAGCATAGCATAGCATTGCGCAGCATAGCATTGCGCAGCATAGCAGAGCAGAGCATAGCATAGCATAGCATAGCATAGCAAAAGCAAAGGTAAAGACAAAAGCAAAGGCAAGAGCAAAAGCAAAGGCAATGCAAAACAAAAGCAACACCAATGCGAAAGTGTAGATGTAGATGTAGGCGTAGGTGAATATGTGGATGTAGATGTAGATGTATATGTAGGTGTAGATGTAGGTGTAGATGTAGATGTAGGTGTGAGTCTCGCTGTTGATGTAGATGTAGATGTAGATGCAGGTGTAGATGTAGATGTAGCTGTAGGTGTATATGTAGCTGTAGGTGTAGATGTAGATGTAGGTGTCGATGTAGATGTAGCTGTATATATATATATGTAGATGTAAAGAACTCCCCAGTGCCCCGCCCTCATCTCCGTGCCTGCTTGTTGTTGCTGCTGTCTCGGCGACTTGCTGCCTGCTTCTGCTGCTGCTTCACTTACGGCGTGGCGTCGGCGGTTCTGGCGCTACTACTACTACTACTACTACTACTACTACTACTACTACTACTACTACTACTACTACTACTACTACTACTACTACTACTACTACTACTACTACTACTACTACTACTACTACTACTACTACTACTACTACTACTACTACTACTACTACTACTACTACTACTACTACTACTACTACTACTACTACTACTACTACTACTACTACTACTACTACTACTACTACTACTACTACTACTACTACTACTACTACTACTACTACTACTACTACTACTACTACTACTGCTGCTGCTGCTGCTGCTGCTGCTACTACTACTACTACTACTACTACTACTACTACCACCACCACCACCACCACCACCACTACTACTACTACTACTACTACTACTACTACTACTACGACTACTACTACTACTGGAACTACTACTACTACTACTACTACTACTACTACTGCTACGACTACTACTACTACTACTACTACTACTACTACTACTACTACTACTACTACTACTACTACCACTACTACTACGACGACGACGACGATTACTACTACTACCGCTACTGCTACAACTACGACGATGAGGAGAAGGAGGACGGCGTTTACCGCTCCTACTAATGTTGCTTTCCTAGAGGCTCCAACTCCTAGGTAGGGTCACACTGGGATAATTGTTGGACTATGTTTGAGCATTGTTTTAGGATCTGTTATTATTCAATCGCTTCGCTCATTCCGCCGGCCCATGTTGCATGATCGCTACTGCTTCGCCGTGGGCCCGGGGCCATTGTGGCGCGGCCGAAGAGGAGGAGGAGGAGGAAGACGAGGATGGGGAAGGGGAGGGGAGGAGGAGGAAAGGCTGAGAAGGAGAGGAGGATAATGAGGATAAGCAGGAGGAGGAGGAGGAGGAGGAGGAGGAGGAGGAAGGGGAAGGGGCGGAGGAGGAAGCCTCTCGTTGGCATCTTGTGTTGCTCTTGGGGCCAAACAGGGTCGTCGTCGATGCTTCTTTGGGAGGCCTCTTGGGGTCTTCCAGAAGCCGTTCGGGGGCGCCTGGGAGGCATTTTTGAACTTCTGGGTCCTCTTTTGGGCCTCTTGGGGGCCTCCTGGGGCCTCTTGGCGGCATCTTGGGGCCTCTTGCGGGCTTCTTGGGGGCCTCTCGGGGCCTCCTGGGGCCCTCTTGGGGCGGAAGGCTCGAGTTTTCGGTTCGTGGTCCCCCTCTTGGGCCCCTCTTGGGGCCGTCTTGGGGCCGTCTTGGGCCGTCTTGGGCGCCTCTTGGGCCGTCTCGGGGCCCTCTTGGGGCCCTCTTGGAAGCCTCTTGGCCCGTCTTGGGGCGCTCTTGGGGGCCTCTTGGGCCGTCTTGGAGCATCGGATGGCCGAAAGGCGACAAGGCCAAAATCCTTCCAAAACCATCGTGAAATTTATGATTTTGTCCTGTCGGGCCCTCTTGTGAGGCCTCTTGGAGGCCACTTGGAGGCCTCTTGGGCCGTCTTGGGGTCATCATCGGCGTCTTGGAGCGCTCTTTGGGCGTCTCGGGGGCCTCTTGGACCGTCTGGGAGACCTCTTGGGGCCCTCTTGGACCGATTCGGAGCCCTCTGGGGCTCCGAAAGAGAGTTCTGGCATCCTTGAACAGACCTTGCCGGGACCTTGCCGGGGTACTTTTCGTCCGGGGACCCCCAAGGCCCGCCCCGCGCGCGCGCGAACTAGAAATATTGTTTACCAGCTGCAGGAGATCTTAGCACGCCTCTGGCCCGTTGGGCCGGCGAATTCGTCCAAGATCCGCCTGCAGGAGGACATGCCCGACCTATAGTCGGGGCCCTGAGGAAGGAACCCTTTTCGTTGGGGAGGGGCTCCGCGTTCCTTGAGTGTTTCGCAGCTTGCCTCAGGCTTTCCTGATGCTTTCGATCGGAAATCGAGGTTCAACTTATGGAAAACAGGGGCCTCGTTCCTTATTTACTCCAGATTTCGTAATAAAGGGAGGGGGGTCTCATTTCGGGGGGGGGGTCTCTTCCAGGCTATCTTGGAGGGCCTGGGGGGGGTCTGGGGACGATGTTTTGGGGGGTTCTCCCACGGGGGAGGTCTGAGATGGCTTGTCTTGGAGGGTCCAGACCCCCTCCCTTTTATTACGAAATCTGGAGTAGGGTTCCTTAGGTCAACGCCCCGACTGTAGGAGGACATGCCCGACCGAATCTTAACAGCCAGGTCACGCCCCGAATCCCGCGAGGAGGGCACCGCGGGGCCACGAAGAGGCCACGACGGGCGAGAGGCCATGGGCCACTAGCAGGCGGAGCCACCTCCTGCGCTCCGCCAGGACCCCCTCCTCCTCCTCCTCCTCCTCCTCCTCCTCTTCCTCCTCCTCCTCCTCTTCCTCCTCCTCCTCCTCCTCGCTTGAACCTGTTCGAGCGGCGAGAATCAGGACTGGGGACGTATAGATAGATCTCGATGTGCCATCGCCGCGCACGGGCCACGAGCGATCGAGTCCACTTCTCAGGGCCGTCCCAAGGGGCGACGTGGGCGTCACCGTAATTAGCTACTCGGGCTCGAGCAAACCCTCTCTCGGCCCGGCGGCACTCAGCGAATGCCGAGCATGTGGGGCTGATGGCACTAGCACGCCTGGGCGAAGACCTTCAGCGCGCGCTGGCCAGGCTGGAGACCCCTACCGGCACGCCTTGCACCACGCCCCGCGAGACGGGCACGTCGGCTGGCACTTCGACCGGGACGGCGACGCCCCGCGTGAACGACGGATACAGCAGCAAGTCTGGTCTCCTCGGAGACTGGCAGGCGTGGTGGCACACAGGGCAGTGCCAGCAGGACGCGGCCCCAGGCCGAGGCGATAGGACCGGCCCTGCGCCGACGCCAGCCAGCTGGAAGACGCCAGGCCTCCAGGCTGCTGCAGCACAGGGTGGCGTTGCCGGCGGCACCGACAAGGCGCCCGAGTTGGCCAAGATTGCCAGCGTAGCGCGCCCCCCGGACGGCCAAAGCGGAGGCCTCGCGCCCCCAGGCGGTGGAGTGGTCCACTTCAGACTGGTCGGGTGCCTTCGCCCTGCCAAGCCAGACTTGTGCCGCGGCGGGGGCGTGCGCAGCCCGGTTGCGCCAGGACGGGAGACCGTCGAGGAGCGCGCGCATGCCGCGCAGCGGATGCCGGGGACGGCGGCCAAGCCCGAACGGGACCGCGCAGGCCAGAGGGTCACCGCGCCCGCGCGGGAGGCAGTCGTGGACGCCTGAGCGCGGCGGCGGCCTCCCAGCGCAGGGCCGTGCTCGCCCGTGCGGGGGGTGTCTCCTAGATCGCGGGGGGATTCCAATGCGAGTTGCCGCGCCGCGCGCCAGGCACAAGTCCGCGCGCAGTCTCCCGAGGGCCAGGCGCCCCTCGCACCCAGCGCTGCGCGCGAGAGGACGCAAGCAAAAGAAGAGAGCGCCACGGGCCACGGGCAAGCTGGTGAACTCTTGCACCCCACAGCGGGGCCGCGAGGGGCGTGCGGGGCTCAGGGGGGCCGTGGCCGCGAGGCGAGCGGGACTCGATTGGCCACCGGGCAGACGAGCCAGCCCTGGAGCCCCGCGGCTGGGAGACGATGAGGCCGCGAGCCAACTCGTGCACGACTGGAGGGCACTGCCGTGCGAGGCACAGGCGGCCACGAGTCGCGGGCAACCGCATCAATTCTCGCGCCGCAGTGAAATGCCGTAGAGAGCATACCAAATCAATGGAAGGTCCCAATTTCGGGCCAGCGGCCATGGAATGGAAGTCCGACCCCCTACACCCGTTTTACCTGTGGGTTCCCACACTGCGAAGGACTCTGCAGCGCCAACTGCTGAACCAGTCAAGCAACCTCGCGGCCGCTGTTAAGCAGAAGGATTCGGTGTCTCAGCCTCCATGGCTCGCAAAGACGTCTTTGCCGACGTGCACTGTTCAACAGCCGGCCCAGCGTGCCGTTGACAGGAGTGTCAGATGTTTACCCAGATCTGATGCTCTAATGCTTGCCTGATGCGAGCTCCCGCTGCGATCTTCTTGTGCACATTGCCTTGCCGACTGGAAAGACCCCCTCGACCCTTACCCTGGCTTTCCGAAAACGACCGAAACTTTATAAACATCAGACGTTCTCAAACGCCCCAACGGGCCGAGGGGGACAATACCGTAGATTGTTTGCAGTGGGGATCAGGCTTGTTTATTGCTGATCGTTTGGAGGCGGAGCTTGCGCACAGAAATGTTGCAGTTGCTGCATACAACAAGTGATCACGCAAGGGCATGTTTGCGTATTTGCATTGTTGGCCCCCTTTTGGCCAAGTCTGCTGGCCACCCCTCAAGAGTAAGGCTGCAACTTGGACACCAGAGGGCCACGCATCCTACGGCCAATGATTTGCGACCATCGCCTCGACCCTCGCCCCGCAGGCGATGCCAGGCCAGTGTCCGGGCGACGCTGGGAGCGGGGCGAGCACCGCAGGGAGCGGGGCTGACAGCGGCTGCGGCTGCAGCAGCTCAGAGTGCGAGGCGGCCTCCCTCCCACCGGGGCGGGCATGGGGCGGCTGACTCCGAGTGTTCTCGAACGTTTTCGACGCTCCTGTCGGCAGCGAGCCCATGGGCGGGAGTGAGGGGGGGCAGGGCTTCTTAGGAGGTGCCAGGGCTTCTCAGAAGTTCTAAGCCCTCCGGCCTTCTGAGAAGCCGTCTCTGTCTTCGGAAAAGAGCCTAAAGAGCTTCTGAGGAGGCGCGAGGGCTTCTGAGAAGCCCAGACGCCTTCTGAGAAGGCCTGCCCCCCCTCACTTCCCCCCCGGGCTCGTCCCCGATTCTGGGGAGAAAGGTCGGGCCTCGGGGCCGAATCCACCAGTCGCGCCTCGCCGAGAGCTTTCCGGTGATCTAGGTCGCCTCACGGTGCTGCACCGCCTGCACCCTTGGAGGGGAGCGCGTGAGGCCTCCAGAGACATCCTCTTGGCCTCGAAGGGTTGCAGGGGATCGGCAGGAGGATTCAGTGGTCTACGGTATCACCATTTCGCCATTCGGAGAATCCGAACGGGCGCATGTTCGGCTCAGCGTAGCCTGAGAGTCCACGAACGCATCCAGAGGGTTCCCGAACGATGGGCTACGAGTTCGGGCTTGCAGGGTGCACTACAGGCCCCTCGACCTGCGGTTCGGTGAGCTCCGTCCAGAATTGCCGCAAGGCTACGGGCCTCCGAAAGCTTTCCTGGGGCATCCGAAGAGCTTCCCACGAGAACCGGCCTCCCTGTGCCTCCCGGGCGCTTCCCAGGAGCCCCCCATCCTTCGCACGCTACAAGGGGTCGTGGCCTCGGCTGCGCCGATCCATTTGTTTTGAACCAGGGGCCGTGGCCCTGAGGGCGAGGATGCAACCCGAGCAGTGCGCGCACTTAAGGGGCCACAGTGCCTCTTTGCCTCTGTTTGAAGGCGTTGCTGAACTGTGGGTGCGCTTTCCTCTTACGCATGGAAAGCATAACGTGATGTGCCTCCTCTCAGCTGTGAATTCGGACAGGTTCGAAGTAGTCGTGAAGTTGCGGCACATCGCGGGGGGCCGCAGCGTTAGGGCTGAGTCCGTCCGCGCTCCCGCGCCGAACCTCGAGTCGTTATGACGAATCCTCTTCGAGCCATTACACCGTTGCTTGTCATACTCCTTACCCTGCTCATCCGTCTTGTCATCTACGTCTTCCCCGTCCTCCGACTTGATTGGCATTGCTTTCGTGTTGTGTTGGCGCCTCTGCGTGCACGGGTCAAAGAGGCATTGCCGAAGAGACGTTAATAATGTGAAAAGAGTAGCGTTCGAAACAAGCAATCAAACGAGCAACGAATTCTTGATACTTCGCGTATCCCCACCATACCGGCCCGCTCTGACTGGACTCGCCGCTGGCGCTCTCGCTTGCGGCCGCTGACTAAAAAGTATCCCCACCATACCATCCAGACACGATCGGAGGTTCTCTCGAGGCCTCTTGGAGGCTATCTTGAGCCGTGTTCGGCTAGAGGCTGCTGGAGGCTATCTTGAGCCATCAGCTATCTTGGACCATGGTGAGGCTGTATTGAGGCCTCTTGGAGGTCTGTCAGAGGCTATCTTGAGCCATCCTCGAACTCCTGGGGCCATCTTGGGGGTAGGAGGAAGAAGAGGAGAAGGAGGCGAAGGAGGGAAAAGAGAGAAGGAATAAGAGAAGGGGGAAGAAGAGGAGGAGAAGGAGGAGGTGGAGGAGGAATGCGGCACGAGGAAGATGAGGAGGAGGAGGGAGGAGGCAGGAAAAGAGGAGGGAAGGAACGGACGATGACAAGGAAGATGAAAAGTCGGGCGTTGGAGCTACGTTGCTGTGAGAGGTTCTCGAATGACGACTAAGGCCATCTGAGGGGCTCTCGTGGGGCCCCCCGTGGGGCCTCTTGGGGCACTCGTGGGGCCCTCCTGGGGCTCATGTTGGGCATCCTGAGGCCCTCTTAGGGGCTCATCGGAGAGGCCTGGGAGACCTCTTAGGCCCCACGGTTCAAGATGAGAGGGCTTCTGAATTCCGGTCCCCCCCACAGGAGACTCAAAAAAAAGGCGTCTCGCCCTCTCGGGCCGCTCTTGGAGCGCTCTTGGGCGCTCTTGGGGCCGTCTCGGGGCCCTCTTGGGTCTTTTGTGAGGCTCTCTTGGGCCGTCTTTGGGGCCATCCTGAGGCTTCAAGAGCCCGTCGGAAGCGTGTGTGTGTTCCCTACGTTGTTGAAGGATGTCCGCCTCTTGGAGGGTGCCTAGGAAGTCTGGCAGGGCACGTGGAACCGTCTTAGGGCTGCCTTGGACCCTCTTATAAGTATGTCGGAGGCAATCTTGAACCATGTTCGGCTATTTTGGGCCAAATTGGAGGCCATCTTGGGCTCTCTGAGGCCCTCTTGGAGGCATCTTGGGCCACCTTGTGCGCTCCAATGGGTCGCGCCCCCCCCCCCTCCAGGCGCAGGGGGGGTAGGGGGAGGAGTCAAGAGTCTTCCTCCCCGCCCGCAAGCCGTCTCGCTCACTCCCACCCGCCCTCCCAACACATACGTGGCACTCGAGCCTGGCCCGAGCCGCAGCATATGCAGCAGTCGTCTTTGAATGGGCAGCTACTGGGGGCGCATGCGCATCCGCCTCCGCCGCCGCCGCCACCGCCGCCGCCCGCCGCCGCCACCGCCGCCGCCCGCCGCCGCCGCTGCCGCGCCGCCGCCGCCGCCGCCGCCGCCGCTGTCCGCCGCCGCCACCGCGCCGCCCGCCGCCGCCGCCGCCGCCGCCGTCGCCGCCGCCGCCGCCCCCGCCGCCGCCGCCGCCCCCGCCGCCGCCACCGCCGCAGAAGCCGCAGCTGCTGCCCCCCGCCGCAGCCGCCAAGTGTATTCTGTATTTTTGTTGGCAGGGATGGTGGGAGGAGGCCACATCGGGTTCGCTGCGCATGCTCCGAGTTTGGAGGCAGAGTGTGTGTTGTATGTTTGTTTGTTTGTTTTTACAAAAAAAAGGATGGTGGGGGCAGAGTGTGTTTTGTATTGTTTTGTACAAGGGATGGTGGGGGGGGGCCCGCATGGACCTGGGTTGGCCCCCAGCAAGCCGTCTCGCTCACTCCCACCCGCCCTCCCAACGCGTAAGTAGTACCCGAGTCTCAGCACATCGCCGAGGAGCGCCACGCATGCCATATGCGCCACGGGCTCAGGTGCACCAGGCACCCTGGAGGCCCAAGCGTGCGAGGCACAGCAAGTGTGGCACGTGCTCCACGAGCGCCAGGCGCGCCACGGCACAGCCGTCACTGGATGGACTCTGTATTCTCATTAGTATTATTATTATTGCTAGACCGGGGCGGCTGGCCCGCGCGCATCAAGCGGTGTGCCAGCACCCACGCCGCCCCTGCCCAAAAACCAGGCCGAGTGGTCGCGGGGCGCCCTTGCCGAGCGTGGTCGCGGGGCGCCCGCACGTGCTCCGGACGTGGAGGCACACAGTGCAGTCTGCATTTTGACGGAGACGGTCGGCTTGAGCGCAGCCTGTGCGCAACAAATAGCATGCCGGCACCCCCGCCGTCCCTGTCAAAAACCCATGCAGAGTGGTCGCGGGGCGCCCGCGCATGATTTCTGGACTGCTTTTTGACATGGATGGTGGGAGGGAGGGGGGGGGGGCATGTCATGGGTTGGCCCAAAGTCGGGTGGGGGAGGGGGTGTTTACTAATAAGGAGCAGTGATAAACCCCACCCCGAACAAGTGAAGGAGGGAGCTTAGCAGAGAGAAGACAAAACTCGTTAAACCACCTGCACCCAGAGGGCTGGTGGGACTGGGGGGCGACCAAAGGTGCCAGGTCCGCCCCCTCATGTCCCTTCTGCCCTCTCCCCCCCAATTTCCCTCCTCCTGCCCATCTGCCTCTTCATTATTATCATCATCATCATCATCCTTCCTCTTCCCCCTCGTGCATCATACTGCTGCTCTTCATCCTAGCTCCTCTTCTGCCTCCTTCTCCTCGTCCTCATCCTTCTTGCTCCTGCTGTTTCTCAAATTTCCGTTGCCCCGAAGGGGATGATGGAAGACACCATACGAAAGTGCAAGCATACTAGTCCACAGGTGTCCCTCTCGATCTCTTCAAGGGGGGGGCCGCAGGATGCCGTGGTGGCAACTAGGCGGCTGGCCGTTTCCGGCCACGAGCATATCTTTTCCTCAGGACAGTTTCAGGAGTTGACGGGGCAACAGCGCCCACTTCTCCTCTTACGTCTCCTCCCCATTCGCTTCGCCTTCAGCTCTGGCAACACCAAGTAGGTCCTCCGCTTATCTGCACGCGTGCGAGCACCCCATGTAGTACCCATGAATGAACGTGGCCCGAAACATGTCTTGCGATGGCGCCCATTAGGGGTCTGGAGCGCACATCCAGAGCACAGATGGGAGACCATGGAGAGTCCAGGATGAGGTCACGGCGAGTGCCACAGAGCCGACGAGATCCCCCGCCGCATCACTCCTCGGATTCGCTCTCGCATGTCCGCTTTTGGGCCGAGAGTTCGGGTACACCGAAAGTGATCGCCGAGTGCCTCCCAAGGAGACTACGCGTTCGCATGAACTTGCGCCGAGCTTGGGAGTGCTGATCAACAAAGGACTCGGGAAGGGCGTGGGTAATTAGAAGAGGGTGAAGAGTGCGATGAGCACCGCTGGGAGGGGCGCTGAAGGAAAAAGTGGCTGACCTCGCTGCAAGGCCAGATTGTCCCTTGGCGTGAAGAGAAATGTCCGATGTAGGAGTACGAGCACAGGGGCAACCGCAGTGGCCATCGCCTGTCCAGCAGGAGTGGGATCCCACGGCGCATTCACGACCGGCTTCATGGGAGCGTCGATGCTGGGCTCAAACGTGTACTTCCGTCTTTCCGCAGATGTGTTGCGTATCCGGCGCTGCCAGTGGGTAGGATTGACGACATGGACAGATGAGGTCCGAGGGTCGACTATGAAAATAAGGTAAGAGAAGTCGGGTAAGGGGAAGGCCATGGGGTGAAGGGAACGCAGAGCGAGACAGATCGAAGACGCCTACGGCGAGTGACCACAGCCCCTACCCTCTTGGATGGGCCTGCGTGGCGGAAGGTCCGGTCGACAGCAGTGGAGGGGTTCAGCGGGATCTTCGGGTTGTTGGAGTGTCCATCGGGCCTCTTCATTCTGCGCGGTCGTGTTACAGCTCATGTGAGGAGGAGGAGGAGGAGGAGGAGGAGGAGGAGGAGGACGAGGAGGAGGAGGAGGAGGAGGAGGAGGAGGAGGAGGAGGCGGCGGCAAGGGCGCGAGGAGGAGGGACCAGGGCAGTCTGGCGGGACTCCCCCCAGCCATCGTGGCCGCGAGGACCTACTTACGAGGAGGGGCCGAGCCCATCTCGGTGCTCCACCCGTGTGCGCGCATGCGGGCCCTTGGCCCCACCCAGCGCCGCCAGGGGGGGGGGGGGGGGGGGGCAGGGCCCCCCCCCCCTCGGGGGGGCAGGCCCCCCCCCCCCCGCCCTCCATCCCGTCGCCCACCCCGTCCTCCCCTCCTGCCGCGTGGCCCGGGACACCCGGCCTGGGAGCACGCGGATGCGCTGTCGGGGGCACGTCGCCGATCCATCGGCGATGCATCCTCCTCCTCATCCTCCTCCTCCTCCTCCTCCTCCTCCTGCCGATTCAGGCTCGATGCTCCCCCCCCTGCTCCCCTTCCCCGAGACAGCCCCCCACCAGCGCTCCCCCTCAAGATTGGATGCGCAGTCGGCCCGGATCAGCAGGTCGACCCTGCCAGCTCCAGGGGGCCCTCGTGTCCTGTGCTATCGCGACACGTGCCACCTCACACTCCCATATGGCGATGTGGCCCTCGGAAGGGCCTCGTGTCCTCTCGCGTGCCCTGTCCAATCAAGGCCGACTGGGGAGCGGGCCAGCAGGCAGAGGCCGGGCGTGCCCCGCGGCGCCCGCGGGGGAGGGCAGGCTCCCGGAAGCACAGCCTCGGCACCTGCAAGCCGCGCCCTCGGCGGCCCGGCTCTGCGCCGCGGGCCGGCGCGGGCGCGCGTGCCCGGAGCCCCTCGCGGCCAGGCCGCACACGGCTCGGTCTGGCCATCGGTGGTTTCCCGGCGGAGGCGGGTGAAGTTTCGGGAGCTCCGCTCATCGGGGGCCCCCAGACGGGGTGGTGACCACGCCGTGGGGTGAGTCGGTGGGGAGTCGGGGTCACCGCACGTTCTTGGGGCTCGGGTCGTTCTCCGAGGACATCTCGGGCGACAGGGGCCTCCAGGGTCCCAAGACCGTGCGGTGCCGGACCGTGCGGTGAGGTCTGTTGGGGTTCTGGGGTCACCGCACGGTCCATCACCGCACCGCTTCGGGACTCCCAAGCTTACTGACCGGCTGAACTGAACTGAGCTGCACTGAATTGACTGCACTGGGAGGGGCACTTTTGACAACGCGATTCGAACCGCAACCGCAACCAGGCGACACATTTCAACCCGCCCGCGGGCGCAACCGCAACCGCAACCAGGCGACGCATTTCAACCCGCTCGCGGGCGCAACCGCCCGAGGAGCAGGAGGTGCAGAAGCACGAGGAAGAGGAGAAGGAGGGAGTGGAAGGGGAGGAAGCGAGGGAGCGGGAAGAGGAAGATGGGCAGGACGGCCAGGAGGAGGAGGAGGAGGAGGAGAGGAGGAGGACGACGACGACAATGAGGAGGGGGATTCAGGGGTGGTCGTGTTTGAGAGGGTTGCAGGAGCAGGTGCCGGTGGAGAAGGAAACCCAAAGGCACGATAGGAAGAGTAGGTTCCTGTGGAGAAGGAAACCCAGTGGCACGATAGGAAGATGGAGGGCCTGGAGGATGAGAAGGAGGAGGAGGCCGATGAGGAGGAGGAGGAGGATGACACGTTGCTAGCGGTTCTCCGCCGGGACATTGTAGCGGGGAATCTCAATTCCATGCTGCTGCCTCTGATTCGATCAGTCAGGTTATGTCGATCTCAGGCGTCCTCCGAGGCCTCCGAGTGTCCAAGCCTTTCCCCGCTGCGGGAGCTCGGCGATGGCTCGAAAACGGTGGGTCGATCGTCCTGATGGGTTTCTTGAGGCCCAGATTGTGGCTCGAAGGCCGAGCTCGACAGGCTGTCCGCGATTCGATCCGATTCGTTCGATCACTCTGGCCTTCTGCTTCGCCATCCCAGGGCGCCTCGTACCTCTGGTATGTTTCGATCCGGTGCAGAGCTCGATCGGGCGAACTCCGCGTCAAAGTTCTCATAGTGGAAGCCGTTGCTCAAGTCCGCCCCCGCAACGGCGCTAGATCGGGGAGTTGGAGGATCCGTCCCAATCGTTAGGTCTCGATGGGGGCTTCGGAGTGGCTGCAGCATCGTCTGGGCCTGCTTCCTGTGCGCAGGGCTGAAGTCCGAGGCCCGAGCGAACCATGCACATATCACACATCACGGGTCCCCGATTCAGAGTCCTCGAGCAGATGGATGCGTACGTCACCAGAAGACCACCCGCCACCTCTCTCGAACCACTGAAGCTACTCGTGTCTACATGCTTCCAGCTCTATTTTGAGAGTTTCTTGTGGAACTCACATAATGCTTACCCCTGGCGCGCGAGAAAGTCGCCTCCCAGCGCACTCCTAGGGCCCATTTCCAGGGATGCACCGGGCGCCGGGCGTTTCCCAATCCGACGCCCTCGCTCGAGACATCCTCACAAAAGTCGGCCCATGGGCCCCCAGCGCGCTCCCTGAGACCATTTCCCGGGATACACCAGGCGCGCCGGGCGTGTCCCAATCCGGCGCCCTCGCTCGAGACGTCCTCACAAAAGTCGCCCCGTGGCGCGCCCCCAGGGACACCGACAAAAAGCGTCGCGTTGGCGTTTCGCGGGCATGCCTGGACCAACGGCGAGGTGCCTCCGCAGGAACTTGCGACGGCTGAAGGCCATCGCCCCGCTAGGAGGACGAGCAGCAGTGTTAAGCACCTGGTTCAGTCGGTGGACTGCTGACCAGCGCATGCGGTGAATGCGCACAACCAACGGCGGCTGCCGGCTTGGGTGCCCCGGGTGTGCCCAAGACGCACTTGAACACTGTGTGCGTGTCGGGATCATTCAGCAGATGGGCCGAGGGGAGGCTCCGGCAGGAGTCCTTGCAGCGCCCAAAAGAGCAATGGATGCTTGCACTGGGTAGTCGAAGGCCAGACTGTCAGACTGGATTGGGCCCCAAGGGCCAATCTGGCCTGGCCATATTGGAGGATTTGGGTTATTCGCCAGACTGGATTCGCGTTGGCTCCCTCGCCAGATTGCCCCCGTTTGCCAGATTGGGCCTGCCAGATTGGCGCCAGATTGGCTTCGACTACCCAGTTGCAACACGGATGACCGATGAGCAGTTTGGGCGAAGTGCAATCGTGGTGTACGAGGCGCATCGCACCACTCCGCACGTGCGTCACCTCAACGGAGCGACGCCAGGATAGATTCGGCACCACATGAACTAGCTTCTCCACGAGGCGGTGCAGTGATTCTGGTCCTCTGCGGACGATTGCAGGCGGGGGTCCAACACCTCGACAGCGCAGGCTCTGGGCCGCATTTCGGGAACTTCACGTGTGGTGTCATGACGGACAACTTGTTATTCTAAACACATGATTCGTCGTTCCCTTATTTGTTGGTGTACTATTTCATAATTCCGCTGTCGTCGATTGACTTTGGGTCCCACGGCAACGGTGTGATTTGTCCATTTTCCTAGGCTATTGTCTACCTTGTGTTACCATGTATTTCACTCACGATCGCCCCCACGAAGGACTACGTCGATGTCATTGCGTCACGATTATGAGCTGCGTGTGTGTCTGCTCTTGGATTGCTCTTGCCGCCATCAAGCCGCTCGAACCCCCTGGAATCATTGGAGGTGCTGGCCGACGGAAATTATCCCGGCAAAGTAACCTAACAGCGATGTGTAGGAGCATATCTGGAAGCATTCCCTTTAATATTCAGATGAGAATCCAGTTGTAGAATTCTGACGTTCTCGCAGTCGTAGTCGCATTCGCGATGACAGTCGCAGTGGCAACGGCAGTCGCAGTCGCAGCCTCAGCCTCAGCCTGCCTCAGCCTCAGCCTCAGCCTGCCTCAGCCTCAGCCTGCCTCAGCCTCAGCCTCAGCCTGCTTCAGCCTCAGCATCAGTCTGCCTTCAGCCTCGGCCTCAGCCTCAGCCTGCCTCAGCCTCAGCCTGCATCAGCCTCAGCCTCAGCCTCAGCCTGCCTCAGCATCAGCCTGCCTCAGCCTCAGCCTCAGCCTGCCTCAGCCTCAGCCTCAGCCTGCTTCAGCCTCAGCCTCAGTCTGCCTTCAGCCTCGGCCTCAGCCTCAGCCTGCCTCAGCCTCAGCCTCAGCCTCAGCCTCAGCCTCAGCCTCAGCCTGCCTCAGCCTCAGCCTCAGCCTGCCTCAGCCTCAGCCTTCAGCCTCAGCCTCAGCCTCAGCCTCAGCCTCAGCCTCAGCCTGCCTCAGCCTCAGCCTCAGCCTGCCTCAGCCTCAGCCTCAGCCTGCTTCAGCCTCAGCCTCAGTCTGCCTTCAGCCTCGGCCTCAGCCTCAGCCTGCCTCAGCCTCAGCCTGCATCAGCCTCAGCCTCAGCCTCAGCCTGCCTCAGCCTCAGCCTGCCTCAGCCTCAGCCTCAGCCTGCCTCAGCCTCAGCCTCAGCCTGCTTCAGCCTCAGCCTCAGTCTGCCTTCAGCCTCGGCCTCAGCCTCAGCCTGCCTCAGCCTCAGCCTGCATCAGCCTCAGCCTCAGCCTCAGCCTGCCTCAGCATCAGCCTGCCTCAGCCTCAGCCTCAGCCTGCCTCAGCCTCAGCCTCAGCCTGCCTGCCTCAGCCTCAGCCTGCTTCAGCCTCAGCCTCAGTCTGCCTTCAGCCTCGGCCTCAGCCTCAGCCTGCCTCAGCCTCAGCCTGCATCAGCCTCAGCCTCAGCCAGCCTCAGCCTCAGCCTCAGCCTCAGCCTCAGCCTCAGCCTCAGCCTCAGCCTCAGCCTCAGCCTCAGCCTCAGCCCTCAGCCTCAGCCTCAGCCTGCCAGCCTCAGCCTCAGCCTGCCTCAGCATCAGCCTGCCTCAGCCTCAGCCTCAGCCTGCCTCAGCCTCAGCCTCAGCCTGCTTCAGCCTCAGCCTCAGTCTGCCTCAGCCTCGGCCTCAGCCTCAGCCTCAGCCTCAGCCTCAGCCTGCAGCATCAGCCTGCCTCAGCCTCAGCCTCAGCCTGCAGCCTCAGCCTCAGCCTCAGCCTCAGCCTGCCTCAGCCTCAGCCTCAGCCTCAGCCTCAGCCTCAGCCTGCCTCAGCCTCAGCCTCAGCCTCAGCCTCAGCCTCAGCCTGCAGCATCAGCCTGCCTCAGCCTCAGCCTCAGCCTGCCTCAGCCTCAGCCTCAGCCTTCAGCCTCAGCCTCAGTCTGCCTTCAGCCTCGGCCTCAGCCTCAGCCTGCCTCAGCCTCAGCCTGCCTCAGCCTCAGCCTCAGCATCAGCCTGCCTCAGCATTCAAAATGTGGCCCGGGAATGGAGTTCTGGGAACTCGAAGAACACGAAGTGGCCTACAGTTGGCTCCGGGCATTCAAAATCATGCCCAGGAATGGAGTTCTGGGAACTCGAAGACCACGAAGTGGCCTACAGTTGGCTCCGGGCATTCAAAATCATGCCCAGGAATGGAGTTCTGGGAACTCGAAGACCACGAAGTGGCCTACAGTTGGCTCCGGGCATCCAAAATCATGCCCAGGAATGGAGTTATGGGAACTCGAAGACCACGAAGTGCGTTACTGTTGGCTAAAAAATGAGACCCCGGCATCCTCCCCCGGATCGCGCCCAGACCCCCTTGGGGCGTCAAGATGCTCTCTTTTGACCCTACTAGAAGCCTATGAGTCTTCGCTGTTGGGTAAATACGCATTTTGTTGCGGCGACTTCGGGCTCAGCCAGCACGACCCGCTGCAGCACCAGTGCATCCGGCAACGCCATAGTGACCAGTGCTTCGTCGACGACCTCACCCACCTTCTGCGTGGACTACGCACCGCTGGCCGCCAGCCAGATCTGCCAGGAGGC